GACAAAGATCTCCTGACACTATGAGACCTGATAATTGTTTTTTTACCCTTTTATCTGGCAACAAAACTGACACCTTTTTTACAAGGAGTCATGTTTGCATAGACCACAATACCTGCAGTCATAATGCAAAAAAAAAAAACATAACTCTGATAATGTATGCACTGTCCTTGAAGTTGATTGGTCCACACCCGAGAGTGCTTTCCTTAGAGCCTAGTCTCACATGGGTTGGACCAGATGACGCCAAAAGCCCCAACTATGAGACCTCCTTTACCAGTGGCAAAATATAGTGATAGGGTTTTACCCTTTCAACTAGTACAAAAACTGACACCTTTATACAAGGCATCATGTTTGCAATAACCACAACACAGGCAGTCAAATGCAAACAATCTGGTCCAACACCAATGGAGACTAGGCTCTAAGAAAAGCTGTCTCGGGTGTGGACCAATCAACTTCAAGGACAGTGCATATCATTATCATTATTAGAGTTGTTTCTTTTTGTTTGCATTTGACTGCTTGTGTTGTGGTTATTGCAAACATGATGCCTTGTATAAAAGTGTCAGTTTTTGTACCAGTTGAAAGGGTAAAAACCTATCACTAAAGATCTCCTGCTGAGCTTGGAGAGTGTCGTTAGCAAGCGCCTATTCAAGGCCAGCACTGGCACGAAAACGTTTGGTGTGGCCAGCATCACGTCTGGTGGCCTTTGTCTCCAAAAGCGATGATGTTTACACATGCCACCACGAGCTCATTTATTGCTGGGGGAGACCCAGCACAAGCTTAGACTCCACTTGCCACTGGTTTTTTTCGGTAAAGTCACGTAGGTAAAAAAAAAATAAAAGAAATAAAATATTAAATCACGACGTTTCGGAGGCAACACAAGTCTCCCTCATCAGGTGGGACCGTCACAGCTAAATTTACTGTATCAAGTGAGAAAAAAATCCAAGAGACAAGCTCTTGGATACAGTAAATTTAGCTGTGACGGTCCCACCTGATGACGGAGACTTGTGTTGCCTCCGAAACGTCGTGATTTATTATTTTATTGCTATTTTTATTTTTTATTTTTACCTACGTGTCTTTCCCGAAAAAAACCTAAGAGTATGAATCCTTGCAGTCACGAAAGCTTCAATTCTAGAATTAACGTATGCTGAACTTCTTTCGCGCCGTACGTAGCCAACGCTGCTAACTGGAGGCGCGGGGAAGGACAACAAACTACGCACAACAACAAGCAGTTCTCAAGAAATTAGTTTTCGATCGAGATGTAAAAGTCCACAGCTCAGAGGTCGCAACCGGGTACCCGATACCCGTACCCTACCCGATACCCGGCTACCCGTACCCGGCCGGGTACGGGTACCCGTTTGCGACCCTGGTGCGGCCGGGTACGGGTAGGCCGTGATTCACTGGTGAGTAACCGTTTGTCACTCATTTCGGGTAAGGTACAGGTACGGGTAGGGAACGGGTACCCGTACCCAGCCGGGTACGGGTACCCATTTGCGACCCTGGTGCGGCCGGGTACGGGTACGGGTAGGCCGTGAGTCACTGGTGAGTAACCGTTTGTCACTCATTTCGGGTAGGGTACGGGTACGGGTAGGGAACGGGTACCCATTTGCAACCCTGGTGCGGCCGGGTACGGGTACAGGTAAGGAATCAAAACCCGTTTGCGACCTCTGCCACAGCTCCAGTGGCTTCCTAACAATCTGTGACTGGGAACTCAACTCGGGTCGCTGGGGTCCGTCAGTTCACTCACCACTGCGCCACCGCTCCCCACTACTCAAGGGGCGGCTCCCGGTGTTGTGTTGTGTGTTACATGAGATCACCTGGATAGCCTGCATTGATTCTTGCCGCAAGTGGCGTTAGTGGGCAACTAATGAAGGCTGGCACGGTGCAACAGTAGGTGGTGTGGTGAGCCCCAACCCACCTTTACCGGTTCAGGTATCACTCGCCAGAGACGTGAGCCGTGGCAGGACAACGCACCCAGGTCGGCCGAGTTTGTAAACTTGCGCGCTAAGCATCGTGCTGACGCCGCTGCTCCCCCCAACACGTGCAGACGAACCAAAATCATGAGTGAACTCCTGACTCGGATCGTGGGCCCTGAATGGCGAAAATTAATCGACATTAATCATTACACTCCCGCCCACCCAACACCCCCCTCCCCTCCCCGCCGTTACTCACTTTACCCACCCAGGAGGGACGATGTTGTGAGTCTACCACCGCCGCGCGCACGTGCGGAGGAGCGCAGGTGCACGCAATGACCCCGCCGTTACTCACTTTACACACCCAGGAGGGACGATGTTGTGAGTCTACCACTGCCGCGTGAACGTGCGGAGGAGCGAGCGCAGGTGCACGCAATGACGCAGGAGGGAGTGGCGCTGGTCGGGTGGTCTTGGGAACGTGGCCACACGCACGGGCGGGCGTGCGGGCGGTGGATAGGGGCTGGCTGAGTGAGCCGAGTGGTTGGGGGGGAAGTGAAGCGTTGTTGCGTTGACGAGCGGCGAGCGGCGAAGAAGCCACACGCGGCTCTGCACGCACACGCAGGTGCCGCCCCCCCCGCTCCACCCCCATTGCACAAACACAAAAGTGTCCCCGCTTGGGGGCCCGCGCTGTTTAGCGAGCGCATGTTAGGGTCCCGCAGGGAGCAAGACGGGTCCATGTAGGTGAGCACCGTGCCCCGGGGCTGATGGTTACACACTGCAGCAGGTACTCACTTAAGGCTGAGTTGAGCTAGGGGAGGTCCAGGACTGGTTCGGTCACTGAGTTTGTATTGCGTTGTGCAAACTACCGTCGCCACTTCCAACACATACACAGACTTATCAATAAAGATGTACGTTCCCACAGGAACAAAAATCCCCCTTCCAATCTTAAAATACTTTTGGGGCAAGTGCTGTTAACGAGCACCTATGAAGGCCGACACGGCACACGAGGGGGTGGGTGGCCAACACCACGCCTGTCCGCCTTTGTCTCCTTAGTAGCGATGTTGACACATCGCACCAGGTACTCAATTGTGGCTGAGACGACCTGGAGGAGACCCAGGACCAGTTCAGATAATTGTCAGCGGTGTTGGTGGTTGTGACTGAGAACCCGACTCGGATCACTGGGTTTACAGCGCAACGCGCTAACCACCACACTACCGCTCCCCTTTAGGACCACTTCACTACCGCTCCACAAAGACAAAGATCCCCTATATACCCTTTACCGCCACACACACACCTATTCACACACAACAAAGACACTCGCACAGTACGTAAATGCACACATACAAAAGACAAAGATCCCCCGTGTAGCCTGTAACAGACTGTTGGGGTAAGTGCTGTTAGCGAGCACCTATGAAGTCCGGCACAGCACACGAGGGGGTGGGTGGCCAACACCACGCCCGGCCGCCTTTGGCTCCCCAGTGGTGATGTTTACGCACCGCACCAGGTACTTATTAGAGGCTCAGTCGACCTAGGGGAGGCCCAGGACTGGTTCTGATAATTGTCACCGGTGTTGGCCGCGAGTTGCAATCGAACTCGGGTCGATGCACACACACAAATAAATACCCACACACCCCCACAAACACACACACAGTGTGCACTGTATGTGCAAATACACGCGCGCACACACACATGGCATTAATGCAGCCCTCTGCAGCGATGTGTCAGAGTTGCGACTACCCCGTCCATCAATCGCAGCCAGACTCAAAGTGTCTACGCGCTCAAACGAGCAACGCGGCAGTGCTCACCGCTGCTGGTGATCCTGAGACACTCGGTCAGAATCAGTAATTCCACGTTCCTCCGGCAGGAGCCAGTATTTTTTAGGTCCACCAATGTTTGATCGCAGGCAAAGTCGTTATCATTCACCTCCGCCTTAGAATTTCTACATTTCAATCCACTGCTGGATGAGAGCTTTGTGGGTCGTGGTTGTTCTTCAAACATACTTCACCACGCTGATCAGTGCAGATTGGTGAAGGGAGCCTTAGCAATACAGTACAACAATGGATTTCCATGCACTGCTGTCCACAACGAAGCCCCGCAACCTATAGCAACCTGTTATGCACGGTGCTGGCCCATCCGGGCACTAGCAGTGTTTTATCTCCGCTTAGCTTCCGAGACCTGGGCGCATTCCGGGTGCATTTGTTCCCGAGGCCAATAATGACGTAAACGTGAAAAACAAGGGGGGCTAGATCATGCGTGCGCATGGATTAAGTAACGCTTTCCAAACATGCGTCTTTGCCCTCCTAAGTATTTCATTATCGGCGCGTGGAAGCCTGTGGTGGGGAGCTGTCAGGGCACACAATGCGTTTGCAAAAACTCTGCACTGCAGTTCTTTTTTGCTCCCGTTGTGCACAATGAGGCTTCGATCCAAGTGGCCGCTGCTCAGTCGGGCGGCTCGCTAACAGCGACACAATCTCTCCAGACTTTGAATGATCATCGGTAGCAGCAGCCACCGTCGAGATATCAGCGTTCTTCACTAACTTTCGCCGATAAGACGTCGTCAGTGTGAGAGCCGCCAACACCGCCTGCAAGGGGTGTTTCCACGCGTGGTGTATTGTGTCGGGGGGCCGCAGGTCAGGGGGATGCACTAAAGGCCACCAGGGGCCGCCAATGGCTCGCGGGCCTTGCAATGAACAACACTGCACCAAAGTTTGATACAGGTCGGACCATCTTCATGGGGGTCATCGTGCCCCCGCCCCCCTGGTTACGTACGGATTGATGAATGGATGGACGGAGCTCACGCATTGAAGCAAAGCACTAACAGGAAAAGAGAAGCTTTCGTGAAAGTTGATCAAGCGTCCCAACGCGAGCAGAAGACGGGAGCATCGAATTAACCTCACCAGACCATTGGAACCTCATTTGCCAGTAAAAAATATGATAATTGTTTTTTTACCCTTCTATCTGGCAGTGTGGACCAATCAACTTCAAGGACAGTGCATACATTATCAGAGTTATGTTTTTTGTTTGCATTATGACTACAGGTATTGTGATCTATGCCAGATAGTAGGGTAAAAAAAACAATTATCATAACCTCACCAGGTTCACCACGGCCACGCCACCGTAGCTGTGAGCCACGATGAAGACTTTTTTTGCTACGGACTTGTCCACGAAGTTCTTCCATACGTACTCCATGTGGTCCTCCGGGTTTTCGTTGTCCTGGGAGGGGAAGACAACAGGAACAGATCGCGTCAACAATAAACCTCCATTCCCATTGAACGCCGCACCTGGTTGACAAAGACAAAGATCCCCCACGTAGCCTTGACAGACTGTTGGGGAAAGTGCTGGTGGATACACCTCAACACCAACATCAAAGTCAAATGCATCTCCCTGCTCGGAGGAGGGCTGGAATTTCATCTCCCCCGGCAGCCCTGAGCCCGTGGTGGAAATTCCACATTCCTATTGCAAGTATTAAACCGTAATTTATCATTACAGTTGTATACCAACAAAATAATTAAAGAATAAAGACTGGGGGGTTAATCTTACAGATCAGAGAGGGATGATGACGGTGTTGATAAATTGTAAAAATATTGATGAATAAGATGTGTGCGGTGATGAATATAATGGTGGTGGTGATGATGACAGTGATAACAGTGATCGTAATGATTGCAATGCTATGACAAAACGATTCTGTACAGATATTGAGTATTATCACTGCACTACAACAAATAGGACCAATATCACGTGAACAGCCTCTTTGTCAGTCTCCCACTGAACGATGTCGTCCCTACGCAATGCGTGTTGCGGGGGTGATTTCACCAAACTCCATGTCTGGCTGATCGCCGAGTGGTGAAGCATCGAAGTACAATAGAATGATGGAGTTCGCAGCATTGCCTACTCCACGGCCCGTACAACAACTGCATGGTCGCTCATCCGAGTACCATCCAAGCTCAAACCTGCTTAGCTTCAAAGAGCTGATGGTACCGGGCATATTCCATGTAATTTGGTGGCTGGCAGGGCCAACCAGGTGACCGCAAAAACAGACCTATGACCAAAATGCATACCCCGCTTGGTATTCCACCCAGCCTATATTAGCGTAATTACGGTAGCGAGCATGGTTAATTATTTATTTCATAATTAACCGCCCGCCGCCCAGATAATTACATTTCCAGCACGCTGGTAGCAAAAAAAAAAAACGACAAATTGAAATCTGATTTGCATATGCAAATTGGCACGAATGCCAGGTTAATTCGCGGCAACGAGACACATTAATCAGACGCAACGTGAATTTCTTCCCTAACGCGTCGCCGCGCCGAGGAGGGCGTTGAATCCAAATCATGCGCGCAGGCACACGTACAGAGACGAAGATTTTGCACGCGTAGCCTTCAGCAGACCGTTGGGACCAGCGGCTGTTTCGCGAGCACCTACTGAGGCCGGCACGACAAACGCGGAGGTGTTGTGGCCAAACATTGTGCTGATGTTTACACACCGCACCAGGTACTAATATAGAGAGTGAGTCGACCTAGGGAAGGCCCCGGGCCCCGTTCAGATATTCTCCACTGATGTCAGCCATGGTCGAGAATTACACCCAGGTTGCCAAGTTCATTGTCCACTGCGCTAACCACTTCACCATTGCTCCCGCAAAGAGAAATGTTGCGGAAACTCAATAGAGCTCTCGAAATGTACCAGATATTGTTGTTGTTATTATCTGCACATGGTCACCACCATAGGAATGTACAATTTCCACCACGGGCTGCCAGCAAGGATGGCCATTTCCCAATACCCCGTTTGAGCAGAGAGAGACAGACACTTACATTTTTCCCGCGTGTGGTCACAAATATTTCGATTTCGCTAAACTGTTTTGTACGCTTCTCCCAAATGCATTTGAGCTGTCCAACGGGCGTCATGTCAAGGGGCCAAGAAACTTCCACTCACAAGCCTCGCAAGTGAGCAGTGCATCACCCTGTGTCATTGAATGACCTCGGCAGATGGCTTTAAATTGGCATCTTTAATCCACGCTCGGGACAAACCTCTCTATGTGCCCTGCAAAGAGTGTTCGTCGCGTGCCAAGCAATCCAATATTGTGGATTCTATTGAAGTAAAGCTTAAAGTTAAAACCACGTTTTGCAAGTTTGGCATGGTGCCGCCATAATGAGCGCACTACAAACGAAAGCTTTTAACTTAACGAACTCGGTTACCTGAGTTAGATCCCCTTCCGTGGCTAACGTCAGTGACGCATGATATCTGATCCGATACCTGGCCCCTCCTCAGCAACCTGCATTGACCAGCGTGGTGAAGTATGTCCAAATAACCGCCATGGCTAACACACCGTGGGAAGGCCTTGATCCATCAGTGGTGGCGAGATGTTATCTCCCTCGCTTTGTATGCAGGAGGTCGTGGGTTCGATCCTGACCCTAACAATGCCTGTATATTTGGATTTTGCATGTTGTCCCCATGGTCGCGTGGATTTTTATCCGGGTCCTCCGGTTTTTCCCCTCCACATTTATAATCAACATGCATTCAGAACACATTCCTGCGGAGGGAGCTGGTAGGAACGTTGAGTTGCTCGGTCAATGGCCAGGGTCAACGGCGGCGTGGTGTATTCCGCAAATATGGCCGACTGTGAGAGCGGGCACAAGCCGGCGTGAGTAGGTTAAACGTTGAGTTTTATAAGGGCACCACAGGGTGACCAGCCCCTCCCTACCCAGCCCCAACCCTCCCACCCCCCACCCAGCCCCACCCTCCCCACCCAGCCCTTCCCCACCCTCCTCTCCCCACCTAGCCCCTCCTCACCCAGCCCGACCCCTCCTATTTTTGGATGCACGACGGACGGACACAATAATCCCCTGTGGGCTGGTGGAACCAGGTGGTTCCTACCAGTATTATTTGGCTGCTATAAATTTCCACTTGACAAGCCACTTCGTTGAGCTATCATTTGTGTCCAGGTCGCTTTTGCAAAAGAGCTACATGGCTCAGTGGGCTTTACCTGGTAAATAAAATGGATGTAGATCCTTTCTACTGTATATTTGTTATTTTTTGTGACACACAAAATGATGATCACCATTATTATTATTATTATTATATTGCGCTTTGTGGCGATGAATTTTCCTAATCGCGATGCACACAGAGTTCTCCTACTCTGGCCGAGCCCGGATATACGGACGCCACATGAAATCACGAAAGCTGTCACTCTCGTGAAAGAGGGGGTGGGTGGTGACATAGATCAAATAAACGAGACTCCCGCGAATGAGATGCATTCACGGTAAATACTGCCGCATTTTGTTTCGAGATCGTTTGATTATATCGACTCTTAATATCTTCCGCGGCAGCTTTCGCGAAAACGATTAACCCCTTTTGGCATCTGCCTGCCGCGACGAGAGTGAGGACTGTAAATGTTTGCTTTCATAACATTTGAATTTGTTACGTTCATAGGAACACATGTGATTACCAACACAAATCAGATTGTACAGTGATGATGATGATGATGATGATAATGCTTTTATAAAAATCACAATGATGCTGGTGATGATGATGATGAGAGAGGGGATAAGTTATTAAATATAACAAACATTTTCATGATTGTAAGCACAGTGACAATGATAATCTATAAATTAATAAAACATTTTATTTTTATTTGACTAAGTAAGGCCCACAGCTATATCGCTCCTTTTCAAAAGTGACCTGGGCACAAATGATAGCTCTACAAAGTGGCTTATCATGTGTAAATTTATAGCAGCCAAATGATCTAAACACACGTTTCTAAATCTGGAGAGAAAAACCGGAGGACCTGGAGAAAATTCCAGGCAAATTTTCAACATACAGGGCATCAGGGTCGGAATCGAAACCATAACCTCCTGCATACTTTGGGCCCGTCCATAAATGACGTCACGCGATTTTGGACAATGTTTTACCCCCCTCCTTCGTCACACGGCGTCACAAAAAGTCAGACCCCCCCCCTCAAATATGACGTCACAAAGCTCTGCCCCCCCCCTCCCCAAAAAAATAAAACATGCTTAAAATCGCTTTAAACTATTGTCATGTAGTGCATATTTAATGTGGCGCTGCACTCTGATGTTGTAGGAGAAAACATGTATTAAAAAGTCTATTTAATTAAGTAGAACGTGTTGTCTATATTTATTTTAAGTTGCGCATTTTGATGTGACGTCACATTTCTCAAACCCCCCCCCCCTCGTCACACATCGTCACAAATGTCTGACCCCCCCCCCCCCCCAGGTGCGTGACGTCATTTATGGACGGCCCCTTAGCGAGGTAGTTAACATCTCGCCTTGGCAGCACCCCATGATCACCACGACGATGACAAAGATAACAGTGCCACTGATCGTGATGATGAAAATAACAATCGTGATGATGATGACGCGATCATTTTGCGATCCGGCCAGCGCAAATGTCTTTGCGCCTATTGTGAAAATTCGGTCACAGTTCCTGTGATCACTGTTTCATTGCTTTTATGGCTTTATTTTGGTGATTTTTGAAAAGTTTTTCGGTTTGGCCATGTTTGTTTGTTGTAGTACAGAGTTAAACTGATGGTCTTAATCTAAGTTGTCTTGTGGTTGTTGTTGTTTGACTTGCATCCCACTGGGATTTTTGCACACAGTGTTGGTGTACGGTGCTTTTTCTGCAATATTTTGCTGTCTTTTCTTGGATTTTCTGTTTGCACATAGTCACTTGTTCACTTTAAGATGTTTTCTTGTTCATGTTTTTGTTTTTTTGTTTGTTACGGTTGCACCCGATTCAAGAACTGAATGGCCCACAGGGCTATACCCAATAAATGAAACTTGAAACTTGAGCGGCTCACCCTAACGTAGTGATATCTCCGACGCGACGTCTGTCTCCAAGTCCCCGATTCCACATCGCTCTCATGCTCGTCCTTCTCCGGCTTCTCCGAGTCACTCACAGCCTCCTCGCTCTGCGTTGATTCGGCCTGCAGATCCTGGCATCGTGCAAGACAGAACGACGGGATCAGTGCAGGGAATCAGGGAGATTGTGTCATTTCACACCCGAGTGATCAGTTGCGAAACTCAGTTGCATGCAACTGAATCACTTATATGTGGACATCTCTGCAACCAGTTGCGAGCAGTTGCACGCTGGGTTGCTTGCGGCAGAGACAAACTCCGCTTTGACTGGATCTGCTCGGCGATTTGTAGCGACACGTTTCATCGTGTGCTACACATTTGCCCGCTACGATCCCCCTGTTTAATTTGAAGGGGGCGGTCGATTCAAAATAATTTGGGCAATTACAAAAGGTGTTCAGGATTTTTGTGCATTTTGAGGCCATCAGTGAATAATAAAGCCTTCGTTTAGAACAAGTCCGTCACTACAATGGTAATGGTGGTAGTTGACAGTGGTGGTGGTGGTTGTGCTGATGATGGTTTTATATGGTGGTGGTATGTGTGGGTGAGATTGTTGTAGTGGGGCGATGTAGTGGAGTGGTTAGCGCGGTGCAATACAAACCTGGCGACCCGAGTTCAATTCGCACTCGTGACCAATAAAAGTGGCGAAGATCTTAACCTATTCCAGGGCCTCCCCGAGATCGACTCAGCCTCAAATGAGTACTTGGTGCGATGTGTAAACATTGCCACTGGGGAGACAAAAGCGGCAACGCGTGATTGCTGGACACGCAACCTCCTGATGTGCTGTGCTGGCCTTCATAGATGCTCACTAACAGAACTTGCTCCATTACTCTATTCAGGCTATACGGGGGAACTTTGTCTTGGTAGCCGGCCGTAGTGATGGTGATGGTGGATGCGGTAGTAGTGGGATTGGTAGTGATGGTGGTGGCTGTAAGTTATCATCATCATCATCATCACTATCCATGGCCAGGTAGCCCAGAGGTGTTCATTTTGTTGTAAGTTGCGGTAATGATAATGAAGTCAAACTCAGGGGCGTCTCTCTGCCGTAGCGAGCGGGAGCGAGGAGCGGCAGTGCGGGTGAGACGGTGTGAGGTTCCAGGTTCGCGAGCATCGCCCGTTGGCTCCAGGTCACACAGCCCACACCTTCTTGGAGGCCTCCATCCTCTTTCTCTCCCGCTCCAGTCTCTCTCCGTCAATGCGGTTGTCGTTGGTGTTCGGAACCACGACACCGTACCCTTCCTGCGGAAAGAAGTCACGACGTGATTTTATGGTTCATCGTTATCGTCGCCAGGCATGATCATTGGCACTGATGGATGAAGGCCTCCCAAAGCCACCTCCGTATGTGTCGGTACTGCAATGTAACGAGGACAAACAGCCCCCGTATAGCAGAGGTCGCAATCGAGTACCCGATACCCTACCCGATACCCGGCTACCCGTACCCGGCCGGGCACGGGTAGCCGTTTGCGACCCTGGTGCGGCTGGGTACGGGTACGGGTGGGCCGTGAGTCACTGGTGAGTCACCGTTTGTCACTCATTTCCCAACGTCTTGTCTCTTCTCACAATTCAAGTTCCTAGAATCAACCCACCCGCGCCTGCAACATGGCTTCATCCCAGAGGTCGCAATCGGGTACCCGATACCCGTACCCTACCCGATACACCGAGGTCATTAACGGCGACAAAAAAAAAACTGAGGGCACACAGTGACCCCCGTCTTTAACTTCCCATTCACAGAGTATGTGCGGAGAGATACATTAAAGACACGAGTCACAGGGGTGTGATTATGGCGATGCATCTCAAACTATGGGCCCCATATAGTGATACCCGGCCGGGTACGGGTACCCGTTTGCTACCCTGGTGCGGCCGGGTACGGGTAAGGAATCAAAACCCGTTTGCGACCTCTGCCGTGTAGCCTCAACAGACAGTTGGGGCAAGTGCTGTTAGCGAGCACCAATGAAGGCCGGCACGGTGCACAAGGGGGTGGGTGGCCAGCACCATGCCTGGCCGCCTTTGTCTCCCCAGTGACAATGTTCACACACTACACCAGGTGCTCATTTACTGGAACAATGGAATAATCCATCGAGCGCCTGCATTCTAAATACGATTACATTGGCTGCATGCGTCCCATAGGCAGGACCTTAGCACAGGAACCAGAAATAAGCTTCTGGCTATTGAATAGAGGAGCATTCGCAGAGCACTAGGAACTCAGTGGCAGGATAGGGTAAGCAACCTGGAGGTTCTGAATAGAACGTGGTAGAATTGGTACTACATATGTAACCGGGGAAAAGAGGTTACAATGGCTGGGAACAAGTGTGCAGGATGCATGCACGTATGTTGAACGTCTTTCGCACTGTACGTAGCCAACCATCTTCGTCGGAGGTGCGGTCAAGAGGTCACCGCACCAAACAACGTTGACGTTATCGGCAAGATGAGGTTGTGATGGGTGGGGTCCACGTGCACGGGATGGAACAGGGCAGAGTAAGCAACTCGGTGGTTGGGAATAAGACACGGTAGGAAAGTTTCGCGGATAGATTCGGCAAGAGGATGTTGTGATCGGTGAGGCAGGGGACGTGCGCTGGATGGAGGAGGGCAGAATAAGCAACTCGATGGTCGGGAACAGAACGTGGTAGGAGAGTGTTGCGGATGGATTCGGCAAGAGGATGTTGTGATCGGTGGGGTCCACGTGTACGGGATGGAACAGGGCAGAGTAAGCAACTCGGTAGTCGGGAACAAAACGTGGTAGGAGAGTTTCACGGATGGATTCGGCAAGAGAATGTTGTGATCGGTGGGGGCAGGGGAGGTGTGTAGTGGGGGACGAGGGCAGGTCACGGAGATGGTCAGTGGGAGTGGCAACCAGGGATCGGCGACCAAAGGGAAGTCGTGAATCTTCTTGATTCTTTCGGTAAAGTCACGTAGAAGGGAAATAATAAACTAATAAAAATAAAACATCATAAAATAATTCTCACGACTTTTCGGCCACAACGCAAGCAGCCAACCTCAGGTGAAGACCAGGTCTGTCGGGGAGACAGCGTCTGAATGAAACACCACCATGCTTGGAGCGTATATTTAAGCTGGGTTGGAAGGGGAAGAGCGCCTTGACAAAATAATTTGCATATCAAGAGGAATTTAGCATATTTATGGGAAATGCAGATATGGGATTACTACTACTTGTGAAATGCGTAGGAGGTGGGCGGGGGGTGGGGGGTTTCAAAGACGTGAAGCCGGCCGCTTGTGGTGATGGCACTGTGAGAGGTCGAACCCTGGAGGTCAGGTGGTTTTTGACTGCGAAAAAAGCTGTGGAACCTGGCAGAGAGAAGGAAGCGATGGAGAGCGCTCTGGTGGCGTCAATGTAATTTTTGCTGTCGCGACCTTTTGGACGAGTTTGCTGCAGCGGTGGTATGATATGTTCAGCTCGAAGTGTCAAAGTGCCTCCATGTCAAAGGCAAGCTGGGCAGCATTCGTCCGTGTAGGCATCCCGTGAGCCAGTCGTAGAAATGCAACATACCCATGGCAGGAACTTGTCCCTGCATAGGGCAATCATTGTTGACTTCCCGCAAAGCGACGCTCATCTTATCGACCATGAAAGGAAGATAATCATGGGCTGAGTTGAGCCCTGGAAGGGATTTGAACAGGATCGGTGAGGACCCTAAATGAGTATCTGGTGCGGCGTGTAAACATGAGCATTGGAGAGACAAAGATGGCCAAGAGTGGTGCTGCTGATGCGGCGCCAGCCTCAATGGGTGCTCACTAACGATCGCTCGCCACCGCAGCAGTCCCTCCGGGCGACACAGGATATCTTTGACCGTGTGCGTGCGCGCGTGTGCGTGACGATAAGATCGTGTGAAAGGCCGGTTTAATAGTTAATGGGTTAACTCTAAACACAAAAAAAACATTACATGTAAGGGCACATATTGCAATCAACTGGAAATTGGGATACCGACAAAAACGCTTGAGATTTAATCTCAATGGCCGAGGTCTCGTAGGCAATGCGTGGGTCCCGTATCGATTTAAATAAATACATCTCACTGCTGCTAGCTTCACGTGCACCTCCGAGGGTGGACTAAGGCAAGTAAGGCAGGAGGCGGGTGTGAATAAGATTGAGCCGAGACTGTTAAACCGTCATGTCTCTATGCGAGTCTACGGGTCTCTGTCGGAGTCGTTGGGTTTCTATGCAAGCCATTGGTGAACAGGCTGAGACCATAAACTCGCTCCACTAGACAACTCGGGTTAATCACGACTCAGTCTACGCTGGTCTCCGTGTGTGTGAGACTAAACAACACAATTTGGATTTACTGAGCATCTGAATGCAACTGCATCTATGCCGAACTTTTTTCGCAGTACCGTAGTCAACCTTGCTAATCAGACGGTGTGGTTTTAAAGTTCGCTCATTTGAAGGCGATATCTAATCTGATGGGCTGCGAGGCGGCCTTCATATAGCAGCATATTGATCACTCACCGATCTGTCTCTAGATGCTGTACCGACACGGTGGGCATGGTTAGTCTATAGAGACAGAGGGGCAGTCGGTCATAGGCAGAGGAAGGTCTTGAGTCTGGACTTGAACAGGGGCAGAGAGATGACAGCACTGATGGCGGGGGAAGGCGAGTTCCAGACAATAGACGCAGCAGAGGAGAATGAGCAACCTCCCACTGAGCTCACGCTCACCGATAATTTAACGTTGACATTGGGGGGGAGGGAAGGAGAGCGATGCGAGCTCATCTACTTATTTTATTACCCTCGACATTCCACAACGTCGTGCTTGAACGGGGCCCCACTGTGATGACGGAGCGCCCTCACCAATAACGTCTGGCAGCCCAGCGGCGCGTGTTGCGCGCACAAAACAAGACGGGACGAAAGCCGGAGACCAGAGGTCGCAAACGGGTTTTGATTCCTTACCCATACCCGGCTGCACCAGGGTCGCAAACGGGTACCCGTACCCGGCCGTACCCGTACCCTACCCGTACCCGGCCGGGTACGGGTAGGTTACAGGTACAGGTATCGGGTACCTGATTGCGACCTCTGGGATGAAGCCATGTTGCAGGCGCAGGTGGGTTGATTCTAGGAACTTGAATTGTGAGAAGAGACAAGACGTTGGGAAATGAGTGACAAACAGTTACTCACCAGTGACTCACGGTCTACCCGTACCCGTGCCCGGCCGCACCAGGGTCGCAAACGGGTACCTGTACCCGGCCGGGTACGGGTAGCCGGGTATCGGGTAGGGTACTGGTATCGGGTACCCGGTTGCGACCTCTGGGATGAAGCCATGTTGCAGGCGCGGGTGGGTTGGTTCTAGGAACTTGAATTGTGAGAAGAGACAAGACGTTGGGAAATGAGTGACAAACAGTTACTCACCAGTGACTCACGGCCTACCCGTACCCGTACCCGGCCGCACCAGGGTCGCAAACGGGTACCCGTACCCGTACCCGGCCGGGTACGGGTAGCCGGGTATAGGGTAGGGTACGGGTATCGGGTACCCGGTTGCGACCTCTGCCGGAGACGGAATCGAGAGAATGAATTTAGGACGTAGCTACACACGGAGAGGCGAAAAGACAACGGGGGAATTTTCCATCGCACAGAGAGACAAGAGCGGTGACTTTGTGGGTTCCCCTCGCTCTGTGCGGGTTCGCTTTGTGCGATTTCGCGCTATGAATGTGCGTCTCGCCGACTTCTAGCCAAAATCCGCTTTACCGATGCGGCTTTAATTTCACCAGCGCGTGGCTATGCACGGTGTCCGTCAATGAGACAACAATGACTGACACTGTGTGCACCACTAGGGAGGCAGCCGTCTCATACACAGTGATACAAAGACAGAGATACACACAGAGATACATACACTTAGAGATACATACAGAAACACAACACTGCATGTGTACTGTGTGCGCCACTAGGGAGGTAGCCGTCTCACACACAGTGATACAAAGACAGAGATACACACAGAGATACATACACTTAGAGATACATACAGAAACACAACACTGCATGTGTACTGTGTGCGCTACTCGGCATGCAGCTGTCTCGTACACAGTGATACAAAGACAGAGATACACACAGAGATACATACACTTAGAGATACATATAGAAACACAACACTGCATGTGTACTGTGTGCGCTACTCGGCATGCAGCTGTCTCGTGCGGTTTCGCTTTTTGTGATCCCTTTTTGTGGATCGCATCTACAACCGCATAAAGCGAGGGAGTGGGGTGTTTGGTCTCTCTGGGAATTCAACACTCCACCGAAAGTGTAT